CCCCAAAACCCCAAAACCCCAAAACCCCAAAACCCCAAAACCCCTTCAGGCAAGATTACTCATAAAATTTGAAAAATATTAAAATAAAAATAATTTAAAAAGCTTATAGAATTCTTAACTAATGTGATCTCATAAATAAAGTTATTAAATATCAACTATACTTAAAAAGAACGATATAAATAGATTTCTCAATAAGCTTATATAATAATAATATCTTAATGTGTTCCGTTTCTAGTTTTAAGGTACTTACCCAATTGTTTGCATTGATGACTACTGTTGGTTCAGTAAGCATTAGCAAACTGCTAAGTCAGAGATAATTTCTGCAGCTTCATATGAGCCAAGCAACTCCTGTTGTTGATTCATACTTTGTTGATATTAATAACTTGCTTGCTTTTAGAAACAATGATGCTACATTAAGAGCTTAATTCCCGAATATCAAATATAATATTCTATGGAAAGCTCGTAACTAAATATTGAACAAAACAAACTACTCAGTTACTAACAAAACTTCTATCCCTCCTTCAAATGCTTCAAATGATTATATGAGTCAGCAAGTCTACGCTTACCATCCTCAGGAGCTGCTAGAAAACCCTAAAATTGGCAAATGCTATTAATGTGTCAGGCTAGAATTGACTAATCCTTCCTACTTTAAAAAGGTATGCGACGAGAAAACTAAAAAGATCAAATCCCTCAACACGAACCCTGATAAATATGTGACTTGCGATGGATATCAAAATCCTACAGCTTACTCTTGGATTTAAGACAAACCAATCATGGCAATCATATATAGGCACTTCAAAACTTGGTCATGGGAGCTTATTTGCTAAAAGACAAGACTACTTTCAGCTCAACTAAATATACATACTTCCACTATGTTGACGAAGCAATCAGGCTCATCAATTAATAGTATGCTGATCCAATTACTAAAATGAATCCTAACATGAAGTACTGTTAAATGGTTCCGAGTGTCCCCTACGGTGGTAACGCCTCTCAAATGTACTTTGAAGTTGGTCAAGAAGGTACTGGATTTGGTATCGAAGACTTCTCCTCGAAAGTAATGTACCTAGTCGAGGCAATTAACCTTCTAGAGTAGCTCTCTAAAATCTAAACTGATATGTCTACTACTTAACAAGAAGGTATTGCTAATGCCGTGTAGTCAATGAGGAAGTGGATGCAAGAATTTTTGGATTGGTCATTGACTAGTCTCTAAGGACAAGATGCTAGAAACTAAGCTAACAACCATGGCTCATGGTTCCTTGTTTTATACGGTAGTTTTTCCCATTTCACAAAAAATGCCACTCATCTTACTAACTTTAGAACCTTTGTGGATATGATGGGAGATAACAACACGCTTAATTTCATTTACTTGACCAACAGTATGAATGAGCAAATCAAGGATCAATATCCCTCCTTTTACACTTAATTTGGAGCTAATGGCACTCAGCCTCTAGAGGCAGTAAGAGGAAAGTCATTCGATTATGAAATCTTTAACATGCTAGTATTATGTTGGCTTGTTAGCAGACAAGACAGGTGCAACAATAAAAGGGCAATCATTCTGGAGATTCAAGACATCTGGAAATTACTCAGTTGGCATTGAAGATTCTCTAGATTATCTTTGGTATAAGTACCAGAATGATCTTTTCGCCTCATCTCAAGATATCGACTACAGAAACTTAGGTGATTTGTTCTACGAGTATGACAGAATTCCTACTTACAAATCAACTTAAGTCAATCTAAATTTGAGAGCCAGAGGTGATCAGATCTATACTGAGAAAGCTCAAATTGATTAAACTAAAGAAAAACTCTCCTACATTTACAATGAGACATCAATGAATGCAAGCTCTGTACTTTGCTTGAATGGAGTCTACCCTTGAAACAACCAATTTTACTGAAATATCTTGAAATTCAGACTCTTACTCCTACTTTTATTTATTTGCTTTTGATATCCCTAATAGGGTACTTTAAAATATTCATTTTCAAGATATTCATATCACCAATAGAGTACTTATTTTTATAAATCATGGGGTTTTGGGGTTTTGGGGTTTTGGGG